TCTGCAACAACAAAAAAGCACAAAAAAATGTATGGTCCTAAAGTATGCTTAATATTCATTAAACAATAAAAAAAATATATTTTAATAAAAAAATGTTTTTTTTTTTTAATGAAATAAGGTCAGACTCAGGACATGATGAATTTCTTAAGATGCAACTTTTCTTAGACATTCTTAATTCTGTATCATCATCATCATCATCCTCATTACTAGTCCTCAGGCTAAAAACTAGCCGGAAAACAAAGACTTTTAAGATGAAAATGACATGAAATTACTATCATAACCAGCAGATGGCAGCAGAGGATCACTCATTGGCTGCAGCTGCTATTTCATCTCTAGTTTTTCACGTCTTGCTTTTGGATTTATTTATCTGCTGCACGATTCAGCAGATTCACTCATGTTTGGTCCTCTTAGACAAACAAAACTGTTCTTTAAATTGTGGATTATGTAGAGGAACCGAGCTTACGGCACGCTACAGTTGGCCGGAAATGACTGAGCTGGCTAAATCCAGGAAGTATTGGTCAGTTGTGAAACACGTTCAGTGAGTATTATTGTTGATGCGTTGGTCTTGGATTAGACTGACTCTGATCTGTTTGTCCGCTCATATGCAGCACCTCTGACGCTCTTCTGTCTGGTTTTCAGTTTCCACTGGATGAAGATCCGGTGCATGGTTTGCTTCTGCCGCTGGAGGAGAAGCTGAAGAGCGATCACACGTACTGCGGCCGATCTCGACTCGTCTTCACCAAACGACTGCGCCAGAGCGCCACAGAGCTTCAGAAAGATCACGACCGCTCCAGACGAGCAGAGGTTTGAGTTACGAGCCACCGCTTCAGATCAGATCAGAAACCATCAGCGGCTGACAATCAGACACTCAGTCCCTAAAACACTGACAGACTCCAGAGCTTCTGCTCATCAGGGGCCTGCGCTTGACTTCACAGACGTGACACACAGTGAGTGCCCTTCATCAGGTATGAAAGGTTTACGTTAGTTAACAATTACAGACCTTAAAAGGAAAAGTTGACCTCATTTCCTCACCCTCAGGCCATCCATAGATTAGGATGAGTTTGTTTCTTCATCAGATTTGGAGAAATGTAGCATTGCATCACTGTCTCAGCAATGGATGCTCTGCAGTGAATGGGTGCCGTCAGAATGAGGGTCCAAACAGCTGATAAAAACATCACAATAATCCACAAGTAATCCACAGCACTCCAGTCCATCAGTTAACATCTGGAGAAGACAAAAGCTGAAACAAATCCAGCATTAAGACCTTTTTAACTCAAATACCATTGAGTCCATAATCCAAAATAACGCTTCCTCCAGTGAAAAAGTGTTCTGGTGTGAATCAGGAGAGAAATCGGCACAGATCAAGCAGCGTTTAAACAACTCTAAACAAACATGTGACCCTGGAGCACAAAAGCAGTCTGAAGTCGCTGGGGTATATTTGTAGCAATAGCCAACAATACATTGTATGGGTCAAAATTATCCATTTCTCTTTTATGCCAAAAATCATTAGGATATTAAGTAAAGATCATGATCCATGAAGATATTTTGTACATTTCCTACTGTAAATATATCAAAACTTAATTTTTGATTAGTAATATGCATTGCTAAGAACTTCATTTGAACAACTTTAAAGATGATTTTCTCAATATTTAGATTTTTTTGCACCCTCAGATTCCAGATTTTCAAATAGTTGTATCTCAGCCAAATATTGTCCTATCCTAACAAACCATACATCAATGGAAATGATTCAATAAAAAAATTACCCTTATGACTGGTTTTGTGCACCAGGGTCAAATATGTGGCTGGATTTTGATGTGAAAGACAACAGGAGATGCACTCTCACTGGAGGAAGCGTTATTATGGACTCATATTTGAGTTAAAAATGTCTTAATGCTGGATTAGTTTCAGCTTTTGTCTTCTCCAGATGTTAAATTATGGACTGGAGTGCTGTGGGTTACTTGTGGATTATTGTGATGTTTTTATCAGACTCTCATTATGACGGCACCCATTCACTTCCATTGGTGAGCAAGTAATGCAATGCTACATTTCTCCAAATCTGATGAAGAAACAAACTCCTCTATGACAGACAGCATGAGTGAGTTTCTATTTCTGCTGACCCAGGATCAGCTCTTCTCGGTTTTCACAATGATACTTATGGGATATAAAGTGATTCCAGACCAGCACTTTTCAGATTCACTGTTTCGTAACTCTTCACACACGAGACGCCCATCTTCATCGTTCATCTTATTTCTAGCTCTCCGTGATGTTCAGTGATTTCTCAGAATACTAAACAAGCTGTTATATACTGCATGTGGAAGTCAATTCAGGTTTATCAGATTTACACAAAAATCTGTGTTTTTATGCAAAAAGTATGTTTTTGAGTTGTTAAATTTGTATTATTGTTTTTAATCTTTATAATGTATGTCTGAAAATATAATATGTGGGATTTTACGATTATTTGTGATGCTCAGTGACATTTTGAAAATTATTTAAAATTTTAATTACAGTTATTAGAATTATAATTATTCTTAATTATAATGATTCTGTTTGAAAAAGTATGAAGTAAGTAAGATTTAGTGACTATTTGTCTTTAGGTGAAAGCATGTCTAGGTTACATTTCACCAAAAAAAAGAAAATTAATTAATTAAATAAAAAACATTATTAATTAATAAATGAATTTATTTATATATATATATATATATACACACAGTATATATTACAAAAAAGGTTTTGTCAGGTCATTTGTAATGTTTAATAGATATGCTCTGATATGTTACTGAGAAATTTACTGATTAATTTAAATGTAGAGATTTGAAAATTACCCACAAGTTAAAGAAATATATTTTAAATGTCTGTGGTTGAAATCTAACAGAGTCTGTATTGCCTCTCAAACGTCTGCTGTGTTTGCAATGCCGACATCTGAATGATTCAGTATATTTTTGTAATAAAAGTGGTTTCTCTCGGAGTTCTTTTGAATAGTCTCTTCATTAGTGATTCATTAGGATTCGTCTGAGAGATGTTCAGAGATCTTACAGTTCAGGTTAAACAGGTCCTGCATTACAAGAACTGAGAAAAACATGCTGATTTAGGAGAAACTGTGCAGCTTTTTCTTTGTTTGACTCTATTTGTCATGTTTTTGAGTTTGGCGCTCGTTGTGTTGTGAGAAAGAGAAACAGACTGGAAGAGCGTTTATTGTCGATAGTGTTTTATGAACACAATATAACAATACTGTTACAAAGTTAATTAAAACAAAGTTGATCAAATGCACAAGTTAGCAGATGGATGGATATAATTATAATAAATAATATTAATATGTTTTAATTAACTTACGATATTTGAATTTTAAATATCAAATTTGAATTTTTAAAATTCAAATTTTACATTAAGAAAATTAAGTCTATTTTTGCGGTAAATATATATTTGTTTCATATTAATTGATAGATTTATTTAAATGAATCAATAGAAGGATGGATATAATTATAATACATAAATATAATTTATTATAAATTATATAATAAATAATATACAATTATATAATAAAAAATTATATTTATTTCATGTAAGTTCTTTATTATAATTATTTATTATTAAAAATATATAAATAAGTGTATTTTATAGTAATATAATATGTCATTTTAATTCTAATCATATTTTGCATCAAGAAAATTATTTTTATATAATATTTTGTACAATAATACAATATATAATATTAATTTAATATTTGAAATATTTAATATGTTACTTATAATCCTATTTTACATCAAGAAAAATAAGTCTGTTTTTGCAGTAAATATATGTTTCCTTTAAATCAATAGATTAAAAAAAATATTCATAGCTAGATAGCACTGACCATTAGTGCATAAACTAAACAATCATAATCATGTGTTGATGTCTATGTTTAACAGCTGAATCTTGTTTTTAGATGAGCGTCTTCTCTATGAAAGCCTCATGATTTCCAAACAGCCTCAGAGTTTCACAGGAATGCATTTGCGTGCGTTTGGTGTAATGATCATTTCTCTGCTCTCCATGAACCTGCTAGTTAGTTTAGTGCTCACTCTGAAAGCCTCGTTTCTTTCTGAAGCGATTAAGCGCTAGCGGTGAGGCTAAACGAGGTGTTTGCTGGGAGCGGGGGATCACATGTGGTTTGTGAGTGGCTGGGATGGCAATGCGCTAGATGCTAGCTGGCGCTGTAATGTGAGGTTTGGTTTTAAGCGACGCTGCCCGCGGCTAAATCACACCATTGGCTCCGTCACTGCAGCCCAGACATAAATTAAAGCAGTGAACGGGAAACCAGCCGCAATGCTGGAAACCCAGGAGCTGTTTGGGAAATGGATGAGGTGCCAGAGTCTGAGCAAAAACTGGAGAGCAAGCAGGCAGAAATGTGTATTAGCTATCAGCCCACAGCGTCACGGTCGAGCAGAGAGAGGAATGACGTCACTTAAGCGTGTCTCTGTTTGGAGGATTTTCATTGGTTGCTCATTTATAGCGTCCCAGAAAGATGGAGCGCCACAAATGGCCTTTATAGAAAATGTTAATTTCTTCCATGCCATTTTGTTTTGTTTTTTGGTCAGGTTTCTGTTTAAGATCATTTTCTGCACAAAATAAAATAAGAACGGTAATTATGACTTTTCATTTCACAATTCGAACTTTTTTCTTGTAGATCTTTGTAAAAAAAAAATACAGAATTGCCAGGAAAGTCAGAATTATGAGAAAAAGTCACAATTATCCAAATACTTTTCTTTATTCCTTGGCAGAAACAAGCTTTTCTCACGATTGCGAGTTCATATTTCACAATTTCCACTTTTCTACTCTGAAATAGTGAGAATTAAAAAAAAAAATTACAAAAGGCAATTGTGACTTTATATCTCACAATTCTGAAAAAAAATAATTAGAATTGCTAGATATAAACTTGACTGTTAGATATAAATTAAAAATTGAGATATAAACTTGGAATTGAGATATAAACTCGGAATTGCGATATAAACTCGGAATTACGATATAAACTCGGAATTGAGATATAAATAAAAAATTGAGATATAAACTCGGAATTGCGATATAAACTCGGAATTGCGATATAAACTCGGAATTGCGATATAAACTCGGAATTGCGATATAAACTCGGAATTGCGATATAAACTCGGAATTGCGATATAAACTCGGAATTGCGATATAAACTCGGAATTGCGATATAAACTCGGAATTGCGATATAAACTCGGAATTGCGATATAAACTCGGAATTGCGATATAAACTCGGAATTGAGATATAAACTCGGAATTACGAGATAAACTCGGAATTACGATAAACAAACTCGGAATTACGATAAACAAACTCGGAATTACGATATAAACTCGGAATTTGAGATATAAACTCAGAATTGAGATATAAACTCGGAATTATGATATAAACTCAGAATTACAATATAAACTCAGAATTGTGATATAAACTATTTGATATAATGGGGAAGTCGTGGCCTAATGGTTAGAGTCGGACTCGTAACCCAAAGGTTGTGGGTTCGAGTCTCGTACCGGCAGGGATTGTAGGTGGGGGGAGTGAATGTACAGCACTCTCTCCCACCTTCAATACCACGACTGAGGTGCCCTTGAGCAAGGCACCGAACCCCCAACTGCTCCCCGGGCGCCGCAGCATAAATGGCTGCCCACTGCTCCGGGTGTGTGTTCACAGTGTGTGTGTGTTCACTGCTGTGTGTGTGCACTTTGGATGGGATAAATGCAGAGCACTAATTCCGAGTATGGAACCATGCTTGGTCACATGTCACGTCACAAAATATAAACCTGATTGTTAGATATAAATTGAAAATCACGATATAAGCTCACAATTATGAGATATAAACTGAGAATTATGAGACACAAAGTCAGAATTCCTACCCTAAATAAGCTTCCATAGGTTTCGTTTTTGTATTTCATAATGTGTAAATGAAGGACTATTTTTGTAAATGATAACGAGATTTAATGTGTAAATGACTATCACGATTTTATTTTACCATAACAAAGACAGAGCGAATTGTGTCTTTAAACCTGTGGACATTTCTGACATTTAAGGTCA